TTTCAATTAAATCCTCACATTTCAGACCACCCTAATTGCCTTAACATCAGCTGCTGCTAACACCACAATGTACATGTTTTCTGGCAAATCAGAGGCAGGGTTTGGGTTTTTTCTTGGGGTTTAGATCCTCAATCTCTGAAAAGGAGCAAGGAAAAACAAACATCAGGAAATTGCTTCTTTAAGGTTGCCTTTTTACAGCAGGTATAGATTCAGCAGATTTCCCCCCAAAGCAAGTCTGAAACCCTCTTGTTCAGCTTTGCAATATGCAGAGTGGTTGAGGAGAACCAGATCAGTCTAAGCAAACAGATTTCGAGGCTTTGTTGTCATTTTCCTTTGGGGCCAGTTTCCAGAGGTTTTCCAATGTCCTTTCCACGCAGTTTGAGGCCTGGAATAAGACAAAGGAGACCACCACCATCAGCACTCAATCATTGACCCAATAACTTTTATTTCCATCAAATTCAGCCTTAAGGAAGAGAACATCCAGAAAGAGAGCAGGGGAACCAGAGTTCAGGAGAGTCCTACTTTAGTTTCTAGGAGCACCAGACCAACTTCAAACAAAAACCAATCAGATGGGATCTGAACCAGCCCAGGAGAGTAAAACCAACACAAAACCCTTCCACAAGTGCAATCAGGCTTCTATGGGTCTCAGCATCTCATAGGTTTTGGGGGCAAGCACACAGGGATGGTCCCCAGGGCACAGCCACAGGCATGAAGGTGCAGACAAAGATCAAGAGCTCCCAGTTCTGGTTCAGTCAGCAGATCCAGGTTTTATCAGAACATGTCTTAATGGCACCCCACCCACGATAAACTCCAGCCAGCAACACTCCTCACAGGAAAAAGGTAAATACTTGCCCCCAAACCACCCCTCCAAGCACTGGCATTATTTCTGAAGTCTCTCTTAACTCACCAATGGCTCTTTCGATCTTGCCCATGACCTGGTTATTGGGGATTGCTCGTCCTGATTCGTAGTCAGCGATAACTTGTGGTTTTTCATTGATTTTCTGAAAACAGAAGATGAGTCTCAAACACAGCAATGCTCAGCAGCAGCTCCCCAGACTCACACAGATAAGGAACAGGCTCTCATTATGCCAGGACAGATGACGAAGTGCTGCTCCCAGGCTGACTCCATCCCCACTGGCACCTCCCTGAAGTGTCCCAGTGCTGGTGACACCCATCCTGAGGGGACTCTGACCTCCCTCCTTCTCAGGAGGAATAGGACTACCAGGGATTGCTGCTCCTTCAGACATCAGGGAGTTGCTAACACTGCCCAGCCCAGATGGTACAAACCTCTAGGGTTGGTGTGAGCAGCTGGGAGGAAGCAGGGAGCAGCCTCCCACCAGCTCAGCAGCCACAGACAGGCTCTGCCTCCAGCCTGGGGCTCAAGGGCTGCACAAACCTCAAAACTTCTCCCAGACAACTGAAGCTGCCAGGACATCAGACACCAGCGACACTGCATTCCTCAAACTGCCAGCCCATGACACCCTCCCACTGCAGCTGCCCATGAGGCAACAGGAAAGGTGCCCACCCTCACCTGGAGGTCTCCACTCACCGTGGCCAAGTCCTTCTGTGTGAGGCCCTTGCTCTGTCGGCCCTGCTGGATCACTTTGCCCACCTCCAGGGACACTCTGTCATGGTGCAGCTCCTCTGTTTCACGATCAAGCTTGGCCGTGTTCTTTGTAATGAAGTGTTGTTTGTTCTGGCCTGCTGCCCCTGTCGTTCGAAGCAAGAATGAAAAAACAATCAAGGACAAACAAAATAAGGCTCAGAGCTGTGCCAAAAAGAATCAAAGGACTCTTTCCAAGCCCTCAGCTGCCCAGGATCCCAGGGTGATGTCAGGATTTCAACATACCAACATCACCATTGATCTCACCCAATTCTCCTGCCCATCAGGGAACATTACCTTAGCTCTGTTCATGGTGCTGTGCACACCTAGCCATGTAGAGCCCTTCCCTTTCCCTACCTCACACCTAAACTTCCCTATAGACAGGACAAGTCTTGTTTTTCATTGGGGATTTAATGCTCTAACTTTACTGCAGACACATATTTGTGCTGCAGCACAGAGAGGTCAATACTTGAACTTGAATTGTGCTTGCTCAGTATGAGGCACCCCAAGTTAGTAGCTTTTAAGCAATTTTCTGACATCTTTGATTAGTAGAATCTAATTGTACTTAGCTTTGCTAAAAAACAGCTTCAAAACCATTGTTTTCTTTCATGTTAGATATAGTATTTAAGCTCTAGTTTGAATCCTTACTCTCACATTAGTCTCTGGCATTCAGTGTCCCAAAAAAGCAGATTAACCTTCTTCAAGGACCATCTCTCTATTCCCAACCATCAGAATAACCTCCCTACAGTGAGAGAACCCGGCAATTTACATCAGAGAAGAAACAAGGCATTTTTAACGAGCAGCGCCATAGGAAGATCGGCAGCCATTCAAATTCGCAAAAGAAATAAGCTGCCAAAACGGGAAGCTTAAGTTTTGTGATGACAAAAGCTTTTCCAAGATCTCTGCGGGAACCAGGCAGATCTCCGCCCCGGCAACCAGAGCGAAGGGGCAGCTCCAGGAGCGTCGCCCCGGCGGCTCCCGGGGCCGCGCGTTCCGGCCCCGCTCGGGATCGCGGGCTCGGCCGGGCGGTGCCGCCGCCGCCTCTCCCCACCGCAGGCAGCCGCCGCAGAGCGGACCGGCCCCCGGGGATACCCACACTTCTTGGAAGTTTCCACGTCCTCCCCGCGCCGCTGGGCCGCCAAGATCGCCTGGGGAAAGAGCGAAGGTGCGCGGTGAGCATGGCGGCCGAGCCCGCGCCGAGCCCAGCCCAGCCCAGCCCCGCCGCCTGCCCGGCCCCCCACCGCGCCCCCGGCCGACCTGCTTGGACTTGGCCTGGGCCGCGCTCGGGCCCTTCTTGCGCAGCACCGTGACCGTGTCCCAGTCGCTCTCCGCCATCGCTCCGACCCCGCCCGGGCCGCGCCCGCCGCCGGGCACCGCCCCGTGCCCGCCTCCAGGGGCGCGGCCGAGCGGCGCCCGCTGATAGGGCGAGGTGCACGCCCGTCAGGAAAGACAAGCGCTCATAGGTGGAGGCCGGCGCGAGCGCAGGGCCTACGTTCCTGCATGGACTGTTGGCTTAACTGCACCAAGGCGTGACGCAGCTCCGTTTGATAGGTGCAGTTACCTGCCAATCAACCTCCTCGCTACGTAATTGGCAGATGCTCACGCCAATCTGGGGGCGGACGGCACGTGCTTGTACGCACTAAGATTGGCTGTTGGCCCTGCCAGTCACCCGGCACCCGGCAGGGATTGGTTTGTTCTGCGGTGCTGTCAGACCCGTTGACCCGCTCGGCTGAGCCGAGCCGAGCATGCGCAGTGCGGCGGTTCGGGAGCCGTGTCGGTTGGCCCCGGCCCGTTGGCCTCGGGCGCACCTGCGGGCACCGGCAGGGCTGGGCCGGACTGTGCCGTGGGGGCTTCGTGCTGCGGGGAGCCCCGTGCTGCGGGGAGCCCGGCAGAGCGTCCACAGGACGGACACGGGCATGGGGACGGTCCGGAGGAGCCAAGGGAGGAGTGGCTGAGGGCACTGGGTTGGTTCAGCCCAGAGAAGGCGATACTGAGATCAAACCTCGCTGGGGCTGCAGCTCCTCCCGAGGGACAGCTCCCATCTCTGCTCTGTGACAGGGACAGGAGCCAGGGCACGGCTGGGGCTGGGCCAGGGCAGCTCAGGCTGGAGCTCAGGGCAAGGCTCTGCCCCCAGAGGGTGCTGGCACTGCCCAGGCTGCCCAGGGAATGGGCACGGCCCCGAGGCTGCCAGAGCTCCAGGAGCCTTTGGGCAGCGCTGCCAGGGGTGCCCAGGCTGGGGCTGCTGGGGGGGCTGGGCAGGGACAGGGGCTGGGCTGGGGGATCCTGGGAGTCCCTTCCACCTCAGGGGATATTCTGTGATTCGATTAAAATCCCTAAACTGCATCAGAATCGCCCAGAAATTTACGCAGTCGCAGTAAAGGCATGAAAAGCTGCTCCTGCCCTCGTCATTTCTGAAGCGAGAGGGCACAAAGTTAACGCTCCCCAGGCGGATTTTTCTGGGGTCTTTCCATGACAAAGCGCAGGATGAGTGGACAGAGCCCGGTCACGGTGATGATCCAGGCATTGCTCGGAAATCAGGTGCCGGGACGGCCAGGGGGTTTGCATTTGTCATCTGTCACCGCAGCGCGCCTGGCCCCGGCTCCCAGGGAACAGGAGACAGCAGCTCCGGAGGTGGGACATTGGCGGGGTGCAAGGCTTTCTCCTCGGGCCGTGTGCTGGAGCCGGGCTGTCGCAACAGCAGGACTGGGAGCAGCCCCATGGTCCCGTCCCGCGGCGGGCGTTCCGAGCAAGCCTTTCCTGTCCCTTTGGGAACAGCACGTCCTGCTGCCAGGTCACGGTCATTTCAGGAAATGCAGACAGGATTTTTCTTCGATAGATGACACCACCACGTTTTCCATGCCGGTGTTCGCAGACCGGCTGTGCTGGGAAAAGGGCTGTTGCAGTGCAATGGGTGAAGCGGGAGCTGTGCCCGTGCCGCTCCCGGTGCCGGCACACGCAGGAATGCACCGTCCCCGGCTCCCTGACAGGGAGCATCCCGCCCTGACGGTGCCTGAGCAGCACCTGGCCTCTTGCCAAGGGCTCGGTGTCCCGGAGCCCGCCGTGGCCCTGCCGAGCCCTTCACTTCGACCCGCTCCTCTCCGGCCCCGTTTTCGCATCCAGGCTCCCGGGAGAGTCACCGTGGCCGCTGTGTCACTGCTCTGACGGCGAGGATTTCCCCGGCCCCGGGTGAATTCCCCGCAGCGAGAACCCGCCCATCTCCGGCCCGCCGGCGCAGCGGGCGGTAAAACCCCGGAGCCCCGCGCCGGAGCCGGGCTGGGGGGGGCAGGCAGGCTGGGGATCCCGGGTGACAAATCTCGCTGCTGTGACCTTTTGCCGAACAAGTTCCTCTGCGAAAAGCACCTCGCCGTGACCTCAGTGCGGACTGCGCCGCGCGTTTCCCTCACACGGCATTTTTCCTGCTACCGCCGTCCGGCCGTCTCCGTCCTGCCGCCGCCCATCCTTCCCGACCGCTGGCCTCCACCTGTCCCCCGAGCCGCGCCACGGGACGCGAGGTGGCCATGACACTCTGTGCGCAGGTAGGCGAGGGCCCACGGGTACATAAAATGGCCAAAAGTGACTTTAAAACAATTCTGCCAGGTGCACGCTCCGGGCCATTTCCAAGGGACCAGGGGCTGCTCACCTATGGAGTGCAGCGGGAGATGGCTGTCTCCGATGGGACCGCGGGTGGGTCACGTTGAGCACCACTGTCCGTCTTTTTCCCCCTCCAGCAAATGCAGTGGATGCGTGAGGGGGGGTCCCAGGGGATGGATGGGAAGCCCCTGGGATGGACGAGGGCACCCAGGAGGTCCTAGGAGGCGGATGAGGTGGGCTCAGGGGAGGGATGAGGGAACCCAGCGGGTAGATGAGTAGTCCTGGGGGAGTGTGAGGGTGTCCCAGGGATCTGGGCTCTTTCCCAGCAGGGTCGCCTGAAGCAGGGATATGACAGGGGACAGTGGAAAGTCAGCGAGGAGTGGTGCTGGGGAAGTGACAGAGGACGGGGTAAGGGAGTGACTGAGGAGCTGAGGGGAGGTGACTGAGGGGGTGACAGTGGGGGTGGCAGGGGGCATAACTGGGTGTGACAGTGGGGTGGTGACAGATATTGATGTGAGGGTATTGGGGGGGCAGACGTGGGTGGCGGTGGGGTGGTTGTCGGAGTCGGGATGTCGGGGATGCAGGGATGGGTGATGGTGTGTTGGGGGCATTGGGGGTGCAGAGGTGGGTGTTGTTGGGTGGTCGAGGGTGTCGGTGTGGAGGTGTTGGGAGTACAAGGCTGGGTGGTGCTGTTGGGGGTGTCGGGGGCCGGCCCGTCCCCGTGGGCGGGGCCGTTCCCGTGGGCGGGGCCGTTCCCGTGGGCGGGGCCGCTCCCGGGCAGTGGGTGGGGCCCGCGCTCGCCACACGTGTCCGGGGGCGGGGCCTGGTGGGGCTTCCGGTGCGGGCGCGCAGCGAGGGCCGGTGAGTGCGGGGCCCTCAGGGAGCGGCGGGCTCGGGCCTCGCTCCGCTTGGAGCCCGGCCCGGCAGAGCCCTCCTGGCCGCGGGTAGTCCGGGCCACACGGGGGCAGCCCTGGGCTCTTCTCCGCTTCGCGGTGTCTCTGCTCGTGGGGGCTCCTCCCGGAGACGGGCTCGGGGCGTTCAGCCTGGAGAAGAGAAGGCTTCGGGGCGACCTCAGTTCAGAGCCCTTTCCAGTGCCTGAAGGGGCTCCAGGAGAGCTGGAGAGGACTGGGGACAAGGACATGGAATGACAGGACAAGGGGGAGCAGCTTCCCACTGCCAGAGGGCAGGGATGGGTGGGATATTGGGGATATTGGGAATTGGGAATTGTTCCCTGGCAGGGTGGGCAGGCCCTGGCACAGGGTGCCCAGAGCAGCTGTGGCTGCCCCTGGATCCCTGGCAGTGCCCAAGGCCAGGCTGGGAGCAGCCTGGGACAGTGGGAGGTGTCCCTGCCATGGCAGGGGTGGAATAAGATGAGCTTTAAAGTCCCTTCCCATCCAAACCAGGGGACTCCACGAGTGTGCTCCTTAAGTGTTTTAGGTGCCTGTAGCATGTAGTCACAGGGAATGAAGGTATGAGATGCATAAGCAGCTAAAACAAAAGCATTTTATTCTTTGCCTTCTTTCCAATTTGCTCGTGCCTCTTGTGTCCTCATTTTCCATCCCTCTGGGGAACCCTTTGTGCCTGATTGGGCGCCACCACTAAACCTGGGCTCCACTGTGTGCCCAGCTTCCTCCCAGGAACATGCCAGCCTAGCTGCCTCTGGGCAGAGTTTTGGTCCCTCCTGACAGCTGACAAGCTGAGGCTGTGCTGGCCAACAGGGTTTTGGTGAACTGAGTTTATTCTATTTATTTCTTACCACCTTTAAGACAGTTTTTTACCTTATTTAAAGCAAAAAGTCTTGATATCTCTAAACAGGCTGGATTTCAGTCAGCTCAGACAGGGAGATTTGTTAGGTCTGTCCTTCATGTCTCTGTGTTCTGGATTTAGTTCTTAAATTCAAGTTTCCTCCCATATTTGGGAGATGAAGGCAGGGTTTTAGGGTGGTTTACATCAGTATGTTTACTTGTGTTGGAGGACAGTCTAATAATCTGGGATAACACAGTTTATATGACAAATCACCCCCCTGGAATTATAATCAGTTGAAGAAAATGCTTTTATTTTCAGTCTCTGGAGATACAGCCAGAACTTTTCGTTCACATGGCAGCAGCAAACTCTTCTCCACCTGGTTCTCTGGATCTAAACCAGCCTGGGTTTGCAAAGGAGATCCTGGGAACTAAACTGGAGGTCAAATACCTGTGCTCCGATTGCAAGAACATCCTGAGGCGGCCGTTCCAGGCGCAGTGCGGCCATCGCTACTGCTCCTACTGCCTGAAGAGAATCATCAGGTAACTGCTGGGCCTCCAGTGCCAAGGCACAATATTTGAAAAGGCATTTTCAAGAACAAAAGCAGAGAGAAGTCTTGTTTGCAGAGCCTTCTCACCAAGGGAGCTGTGTTCAATCATTGAGATTCAGCATAGTCTCTTCTCTAAGGGAATGTGTAATCTCTGACTTGCCTTTGTTGATGCTTCAAAGTTCTCTTTTCCAGAATCCCCTGCACTGTTTTTGCCATTGAGGAGGCAGTCCAGGTCTATCACCTATTTCCTTCATCACAGTCATAAAGTCATCATTTCACTGTTGTGTCAAAATGGGAGAGGTTTAAGCACAAGCTGGCCTCCAGAGAAGTCTTTTTGTGTTCTGCCTTACTCTTACATTTGTCTGAGGAAAGCCTAATAGAATGTTTAATTGGCAGAAGAAAGAAATTAGAAAGAGGCATCAACAATACACACAAGCAAAGACTCAATGTGTTGCTTTAAAAATAAGAAAACACTGTCATTTCATAAAGTTACCAGAAGTCAATTTATTGTTAAATCTTTTTTTCAATTTTTTTTTGTCATTGTGTTTGATTATTATTTTTCTGTCTGATAGTGCTGGACCTCAAAAGTGTGCCAGCTGTATCCAGGAAGGAATATACGAAGAAGGAATTTCTATTTTGGAAACAAGCTCGGTAAGGAAAAATACATTGAAGAAAACCTAACAGAACACTGGTGTCAGTAATACCAGTTACAGTTTTTGCTTAAAACATGAGCTCTGAGAACTCCTTATTCGTAGGAACCCTTTTCTTCACCTCTGAGAAGGTGATTACTGCGTTGGACTCCTCGTGCTGAAATCCAGGTCACGTGTGTGTAGTGGTGCCCTACTTAAAGCTGTCACAGAGATTTGGTTGCTGTTAACACACCTCTGAGGGTTGATGGAGCAACTGGTCTGGGAGGAGTTTTCAGAAAGAATTCAAAGTCCTGATCCAAACTGCAGTGCCTCAGTGATATTTGTGGTCTGCTTGTTTTGCCATTCCAGGCTTTCCCAGACAATGCAGCGCGGCGGGAGGTGGAGAGTCTGCCTGCTGTCTGCATCAACAGCGGCTGCACCTGGAAGGGAACCATCAAAGAGTACGAGGTACAGGCCAAAGCAAGGCTTGGCACATCTGTATCCTTCTTCCCTCTGCTTTTGGGGAAGGCTCAGGGTGTTGTCTGTGCTTGTTGACAGTGGGGGAAAGTTGTCAAATCCCTGCACTTCACTGTCAGCTGGAGAGGTTCCCTGAATGAGGATTTGTGTGCCCTGCTGAGGGCACAGGCTGGACTGAGATCAGTTCAGATTTGCTTGTGATCACAGGGATTTGCTTGTGAGCATGTTCCTTCCGTGATGGGAACCACCTGCTCTCCTTGCAGCTCTTTTCTGCTATACAAGACTGTCAAGAAATTGCTGTGCCGTTAAATGGTTGTGAATTTCTCTGCATTATGTGAACCTAAAACTCTTCAGACTCCATCAGCTCACAGCAAATGACCTGATCCCGTTTCAGCTGTCTCCAAAGCTACCAGGACAGTGGGACTGGATGTTGGGTACTGTCACCCATCACCCCAAACTGTTCTGGGACACAAGGCTGCTGGGACAGGATGGTTTTTTCATCTCATTTCTCTTCGAGGAGCCCACTAGCTTTTTAATCCAGATTTTAGTTGTGGCTGGGGGTGCTTGGTCTGTAGTGTGTGACTGTATGTGAAGCTTTTGGCTCCTGGAGGACAATTTTGTCATCCCTCTTGGAATGGCAGAACCACCATGCAGGAGGCCTGAGATAAGAGGAATTCATTTTATTTCTCTCTAACACTCACTCCAGATTAAGATCATAGCCTGGTGGTTCACAGAGCTTTGACAGTGACTGAGATGTGTTTCAGAAGCAGGTTTTACCTTGGTCTGTCCAGGCTAACATTGGGATTCTCCTGACATTGCAAAGTGGAAGGAAGAAGCAACAGCTGTGCATCAGGCCTGAGCATTCTGCCCAGACTGTGCCTCTGCCTGTTGGCTGAGAGATGCTTCTGCAGCTCTGCTTCCTTGTCCTGCTGTCTGAGCCTTTTGCTGCGTGCTCAAAGTTTAGTCCAAGAGATGAGGATGTTGGTGCTAAATGGTTCTGCTGCTGTGAACCCCCATTTGTACATCTGTGAGAGGCTCATGGTGTGGATGTGGGACTGAAGAAGTGTCAGGTGAAAAGCTTAACACTACCACAGCACAGAGTTTGGGGATTGCCAGTCCAGGAACGGGGTACCCTGGTACTGAGGTTTCAGGTTCAGGCTGTGCTGGTGGTGTCTGCAGATTGTTTGCTCCATGCTTTAATTTCTGCTGGTGCCCAGAGGTCTGATATCTCCTGCAATGATTGTAGTGAGCTCATCTTCATTAGACTAAACCAGATTATCTGTCAGCAACTTCCAGTGCTGATTGTGCTGTGGCTGATGAGCTGTGCTGAACTTTTTCTTCTGGTTTTAAGAAAAGTCTTAACATGTTCTTGCAGAGCTCAGCAAAAATCTTCTGCTGCCCAAAGTTCTGCCTATGTATTCTGACAAGTGTTTGAGTGCTTGAGCCTGGCCAGAGCTCCCTCTGGGAGTTCAGAAGGGCAGCAAGCTGTCCTGGGATCAGGGCTGCAGAAGCATGTGATGCCCCAGAACCTTGCACACTGCTGATGAAAAGCTCCCATATGGATGAGCCTGTGCCTTGTTTTCACTCTCCACTTGATCTTCCCAAATCCCAGTTTGGCGTTTGCTGGGACAAAGGATGATTGATGGATGTGTGGCCCTGGCGTGCGTGGGCTGTGGGGCTGGGGCATCTGTGATATCTTCCCTGCCAGGGGTTTTATGAGTCTGGGGGAGTCCTGTGTGGTAGAAGGGGTGTGAGGGTTTGGAGCAGTGCTGGCTGTTTCCTCTCAGGGGCTGACTCACCTCTCTTGCCTGCCCTGGTGGCATTGAGCCTAAGGAAGGAGGTTATTTTGTGCCCTCTCAGGAAAAGCTGGCTCCTTCCTAGGAACTGGTGGGAGGAGGCAAGGTCTGGCTTGTGTTATCTCCTCTCACATGCCTGCCAAAGAGCTGTGGCATTTAATCAGGACTGGCTGTCCCCATGCTGCCAAAGCCATGTGTGTCACTGAAGAGGGCTGGGAAAGGAGGGTGGCTGTGTTAGCCCAGAGCCTTGTGATGCCTTGGGCTAAGGTTAAACCCAGCCTGCAGGGCCACAGGGCAGAGCTGCCTGCTGCAGAGGAGCTGCATCCGTAGCTGTGCTGTGGGTAACGTCCTGAAGCAGCTCAGCACTCCCACTCTGGAAAGTACCTCAGAGCTATTTCTGAGAGGACATGGAAAGTCCCTCAGAGTGAATTCACTGTTTGCTAATTTTAAAATCGTGTGTTGTGCTGAGAGAGGCTGCTCTCCCCTTGCAAACTTCTGATTTGCTAATCTTATCAGGGGAACAGGGGAAACATGTTCTGCAGCTGGAAAGCTTAAACCTCAAGAAAAGGAGTAAAGTGGATTTCAGTTTTGCTTTCTGTGCAGACTAAAGTTTGGCTCTCAAAGGAAAATGCAAAACTGAGTGAGTGCTGTTTGCTTGGACATGACTTGCACTCTGCTTCAAGCTGTGTGGACTGTATGAAATATTTAAGTCTGGATTTATGGCTGCATTTTTCAGAGTCTGTAAATATTTTGTGGCATTTGGATAAAGTAGTTTGGGGTGGGGGGCTGAAGGGTTTTTCCTTTTAGTAGTGACCTTTTTTCCTGATAAGTCTGTCTGCATCTACATTTCGAAAATCAGGCTGTGGGCATGAGCCTTTAGATTCAAGAGCAAAGTCTGAGAAGGGCTGCGGAAACTAAACTCAGCCCATTAAAGCAAAAGGAAAAATCTCAAAAACAGTCCCAGTGATATCCAGGAGAGGGAGTTTGTGGTTCCTCAGCTCTGGTGTGTTCCTCCCACCCTACAGTTCCTCTAGCTGTCCATGTCCCTCTCCTGTTTATCAGCATACTGTTGTCAGTTTTCATACACCTTTTATGATTGCCTTTCATCCCACCAGTTCCCTTCCTGTGTCCTCCCCCCAGGACTGGGATGGGAGGAGGGGGCTGAGGAGGGGGGTACATGGGGTCAGCTTTGGCATTCCCCTTGGTTACCCCAGACAGGGAATTTAATGCAGCTCTCTTCTTCTGGAAGCAGAATTAACTGAGGCATAAGGAAATTGTCTAAGTTTAGGAAGTTTTTAAGTTTTAAAACTTAAAATTAACTTTTAAGCTTAAACATGACGTCGGTGTTTAAACTAAGTTTTGTGGGGCTCAGATCAGCTCAGCTCCTGAGGCCAGGCAACAGTCAGGTGTGGGAACAAGCTGGCTTAATCCGTGCTGGAGGGAACGTGCTTTCCTCGAGTTTGTTGCTGTCATTTTGATTTTAGAAAGTTCTTTGTAAGTGGAACCTGGAAGGCTGCAGAAGGTGCAAAACTCTGATTCCAAGCGATGTTACTCAAAAGTCTGTGGTGTCAGAAAGGATGTCTGCAGCCCCTTCTGGGCCATGGGGCTTCCTGGCTCCAGAAGAACAGGATAACCAGGCACTCCTTTCTGCCCACTGTTCATACTCAGGAGATGCTGTGGAGCCCCTGCCATGCCTTACCCAGGGAAAGCTCTCTCTTCACGAGGGCTGCTGGGGCCCTGAGCGTGTCGTGCCCCTCCTTCCCAGCTGTAACCCCGCAGTGCCCCAACAGGTTTTGGTGGTGATTTTCAGCTGAGGCTGAAACTTCATCTTCAGGGTTTTGCACATTGGTTAGAGGAGAGCTGTTGGTCTTTGCAGCTCGTTCACCTGTCTCCTGCTCCACAAAGTTGTTCCTCTGGGTGTTGTATCATTGTTGTCTGTGTGGGGTACAACACTTGAGGTGCTGTGGCAGGAGCATTTGGTGCTCTGTAGCAGGGTGACCAGCCTTCTCTTTAAAACCCAGTGCAGCATTTATTGGCTTCTTCTGAAGGTTTTGGCTCCAAATTCTGGGCTGATGGTGAAGTGCAGTTTGCAGCTAGCTCCAGCAGGACCAGACAATTTTCTGGTGAGAGAATCCCTGACCTTGCACATGGATGTGACCAAAAGGACCTTCTGCTTTTGGAAAAGGGATCAGACACACCTATACCTTCCAGAGCCAGAGCTGAGGCCCACAAGCACACCCCAGCCACAGTGCCCACAGTAGCTGGTGTAGCTGGCTGCCCAGTCACCAGCGATTTCCTGTCCAAACCATGGTGGGAGGCAGAGCCATGGCGAGTGCCAGAGAGCGTGTGTGGGAGGGAATTGGAAAGCCCCGGCTGCGGAGGGTCTGCTCTTCACTTCTGAAACCAGCTCAGCCTTCTTGTGGTGACCCAAAACTTAATGGTTTTGACATCTGCTCCTTGGAGAATGAAAAACTGTAAGTCACGAGGTTTGAAGTGGAGGGGAGTGCTAAGTGTGGTTCATATGGCTCTACGCTGTGAGGAAACCCCTCACCAGGAATGCCAGTGGGGGAATTGTGGAGGGATTTGGAAAAAGCATCCTGGAGTGTACCACCACTTCATGCTTGTTCATAGTTGAAAGCAACCAGGAGTGGCAGAACCTATTTTTAAAAATTACAGAAAACCTGCTACTACTTCAAATGCATTTTGTGCTTTCCTCTGTTCTAAGAAATCACTCTTGCCTTCACACTTGTCTTCAGTGCCTGACACACTGCCTTGGTGTCCCTCTGCCAGCAATCCCCAAATCAAACCTCTGTCTGATCAGCCCTAACAGTTGATGAACAAAACTTCAACACTGAAAACAAGTGGGTCTGCCCTGGGTCTGAACAGAGGCTTGAGCCAGGCCCACAGGAAACCCCACAAGGCTTCTTCTGCCTTTTGTCCTCACTCAGGTGGGCACCAGGGCACTGAGAGCAGTGAGGGTGTGCTGGGTTCTCAAGCCCTCGCTGCCTGCCCAGCTGGAGCCAACAGAACCTAGTGATGCAAACTTCATCTTTGGTTTTGACAGTTTCTTTGAAATGCTGCCAAGTGAACTTGCTTGGATCTGTCAACAGCATGTCCCAGTAAGGGAGGAGTTTGTGTCTGGCACCAGCCTGTGTGATGGTCTCAGAAAGCTCCCATTCCCATTTGGCACTGGGAATTACAGACTGGGTTCCTGCTTTTCCAGCCTTGTGTTGCTGGGCTCCGTGCAGAAGCACAAGGGCTGGGTGTGTGGTCACCCTGTGCCTGGTAGCCTGGCTCACCTGTATGGGGAAAGGTTCAAGCAAGCCTGGCATAGAACCAGCTTAGGACTTCTCTGGCAGGAGGAGCTGCAGCACAGAAGGACATGGGGACTTCAGAGGAGCAGGGCATCCCAAAGCATCTGTCTTGTGTGGCACATTTCCATCTTGCAGGCTCTGGAGCCCCTGGGAAACTGACAGAGGCGCACGAAGCAACCGATGCTTCTTAGCACAAAGGATTCAGGTTCCCTCCAAATTCTCTCTTTTATACTGGAGACTCATTTTCAGTGTTTTCTCTACAATTTCATGGCCCCACCTTTTCCTTGTAGCCAGGTTAGTGTGTCCAAGAAGCCAAGTGCTGCGCGTGGCAATGCTGGGGCTGGAGACCACCCAAGCCCTCATAGCCCCGTGTCATGGCAGCTGGCTTTCCTCTGCCATCCTGGCAGTTTTGTTTCCTTCTAGTCCTTGCAGTAACCTGCTTGTGGTTACTGTTGCTGTGCTCAGAGGAGACTGATGGAGTGACTTTCCAAGACCCGGGGATTTTGCAGGGGAGCTGCAGCGTGCAGCTCGCTCTGAGCCCGTCCTGCTGTCCCTTGTCCCTCTGCCAGCCCTGCCCTTTGCTGTGGCCTTTCCACGGGCTCTGGCAGAGGTATCTCACCGGAGCTGCTTCAGCAGTGGCATTTCCCAGCTGCCTGCCTTGTCCCTTGGCTGGAGGGGGAGCCCAGTGTCATGCTGATGGATTCCTAGCATGGTTACAAGACCTCAGATAAAAAACTGGACCTGTGTGGATGTGGCAGGTTATGAGCAGAGTAGCCTGACAGCAGGGGCATGTCCTGTCCACCAGAGTATGGAGATAATGATTTCCATCAGCAACCACTTCCAAAGTTGAAATTGAATTTAGGGATGCCCTGAGGTGAAATGGTGATCAGATTAAAGTGCAGTTTTCCCTCTTGGCTGAGGGAGAAGTAGGGGAGCAACTCACCCTGGCATTGTATAGAACCAGAGAATTTCCCAAGCTGGAAGTGATGCACAAGGATCATGCAGTCCATTTCCTGGCCCTGCACAAGACACCAGCAGCCCCCCCAGCAGCCCCACCCTGGGCACCCCTGGCAGCGCTGCCCAAAGGCTCCTGGAGCTCTGGCAGCCTCGGGGCCGTGCCCATTCCCTGGGCAGTGCCAGCACCCTCTGGGGGAAGAACCTTTTCCTAATACCCATTCTAACCTCATCCTGACACAACTCCAGCCATTCCCTTGAGTCCTGTCACTGGCACACAGAGCAGAGATCAGAGCTGCCCCTCATGAGGAAGCTTCAGAGCACAGTGAGATCTGCTCTCAGCCTCCTTAGGAATGATCACTGTGTGCTCCAGGGATCAGCTGCCCTTACCAAAACCCACTTTTCCCTCTGTATGCCTTCACTCCCCTGCACAGCTGCAATGCAAGAGTGCTGCCCTTGCTGGCCGGGATGAAACAGCCTCATCCTGCTGCCGGAGTGTCCAGAGAGAAACTTTGTCTGCAAATACTGCAAATTTAAATCATATACAGCTTTTCTGCTTTCCTGATACTGAGGTGGGGGATTCCCAGTACCCACGGGCAGCTCCATTTGCTAGTAGGCCTGCAGGCAGAGAGGAGAGCTCAGCACCTTTGAGCAGCCTGGAGAAGAGAAGGCTCTGGGGAAACCTCCCTGCAGCCTGTAAGTGCTTAAAGGGGGCTTGAAAAAGATGTAGAGAGACATTTTACATGGACAGATAGTGACAGGAAAAGGGGGAGCAGTTTTAAGCTAAAAGAGGAGATATTTAGATTAGATGTTAAGAGGAAATTCTTCCCTGTGAGGGTGGTGAGGCCCATGCACAGGTTGCCCGGAGCAGCTGTGGCTGCCCCATCCCTTGGAAGTGTCCAAGGCCAGGTTGGATGGGACTTGGAATGACCTGGGATAGTGGAAGGTGTCCCTGCCCACAGTAGTGGGGTGGAATGAAATGGGCTTTAAGGTCCCTTCTAACCCAAACCATTCAATTATTCTGTGGTTCTGATTTGCCTCACACACAGTCCCTGACTGTGATCCTCTCCATTGCCCTGGTCCTCCCATGGGCAGCGGTGTCTGATTTTCTAACCTTTCTGGTGAGCTCCCAGAGAATGACATGTCTGATGGTGGTGGGTGATGGGCAGGCTGCTGTGGGGTTGTGTCCCTGTTTATTATTAGGGAAGGAAATTGATCAATCAGCGGCTTTGGTTGTAATTCGGTGGGAAGAACCGGGTGTTGCTGAAGGCTGTTAACTCTGCCCCATTTGATTTTCCTGCTCCTGCTGTTGGATGCTGCAGGCTGGTGTGTGCCTTGCTGGGTGAGCCATTGTCTTCCAGCTCCACTTGAATTCTTCCATGGCTCTCTGATCCCTGTCCAGCTTGATTTCCATTCTGGTTTCCCTCTGCGAGAGTGCCTGCTCTTGCCTAGTCCCACGCCCAGCCATGGATGGCTTTCTAGAGCTCCCAAAAACTTTCCAAGCAAGTGCCTGGATGTGAGTGTGAGTGGTGCTTATCCCTGTAGCAGAAGCTACAGCTATGGGTTTGGGAAAGATATAAACAGGAGGATTGCCCCATTGCAGAGGGAGTGGAGTGTGGCGGATCAGGCTCAAGTGCCAGCCCCTGCTCTTGGCTCCAGGGTGGGTTGGATTTCTTCCAGGAGTGATACCATCTATCTGTGTTGTGACACCCACGTGGGACAGGAGGAACAGGGGTTTCCAGAAGAACCTGAAACTGTTTATACAGAAATGTTTGGATCTGCGCTGGCTGAAGCCTTTGGTGTCTTTAACTATTTACATACACAGCAGTTGCTCTTTGAGCTCCTTCCCATGCTGCAGGCAGGGCTGCCCATTCTTGGCTGTTACGTCATGGTGCAGAGGGGAATCAGGATGGAGGATAAATGCTGGGAGGGTGGGGGGTGTGGTAGTTTCACACCCACATGTTGGCATGGGAGACCATAAGTTTAAAATACTCCTTTTTAAAATAGTTGCCTCTGCAGTGAAATTTCCTTCTTTCAGCCAGACCATCTGTTCTGCCAGTGCTTTGTGGTTCATGGGGTAGATGTTACTGGGTGTTTCTAGAACATGAGAGCAGTAGGTGGGTAGGAAAAAGGGCTCACTCCCTCTGAGTGAGTGGGATAAAGGCAGGCACTTGGCCTCCTCCTCCGCAGGCAGCAGTGCCCTCCAAACCCCTCTGGCTGGCCAGTCATCTCTCCAGGGACACACAGTGAAACTCTCAGCTTAAGTTACTCACTTAAAGCATAAAAAGGAGAGAGTGACCAAGAAGCCGGGGTGGAGTTACTGCTGGTTTCACTTTTCACTTCCTGATGTGTGACACGGTGAGGTTTGTGCGTGTTCCCCTAGAAGGTAACAGAGATTCATTGTGACCAAGTTTTCCACAATCTGGGTTCAGATGGCTGCATTAGAAATGCTCCTGGTTAGATTATTTTTCTGTCCCTACCATGGCAGGAGACTTCAGTGCTCTTGTATTTTAATTTGAGTTTTGATCTGCATGTTCATGGTGTTTCCAATGCCTTGTTTCAACTGGTGGATGTAGAACAAGAAGGTTTAAGCAGCGTGGAAATGGTACAGAAGCAGTGGCATGTTCCAGCATTCCATTTAGCCAGCACTGTTGCCAAAGACTCTACTGAGGACAGAGGATCACGTTGCCCTGATCGTTTGTTCAACCTCTCTGGCCATCATCCAACCCTGAGTCTGGCTGCAGAGGCAATTGCTTGTGTGCAGGGACTGGTAAATTAAACAGTTTAAAAACAGTGTGCAGCTGTTTTCTTTCTGCTTGAAAAATGGTATTGTAGTTCAAATGTGAAGATACAATCAGACAGCTCAGCCCGGCATGTGATGAGCTGTCATGGGGCCTATGCCTCAGCTGACTGAAAACCATTACAGTGGAAAAAAGACCCAAATTATCCTGCTGAGGCAGTGGCTCACTCCACTCAACCTGCATCAACGTGTCTTCTCCTGGCAGAGCCATTAATGGAGTTTCCCATTGATTATCTTGGCCATCAAAGCAATAATTTGAATTTTTTAAAAATCATTGTAGCATCTTTTAAATAGAGGTTGGGTGCTACATAGGCATCCAAAATTGGGGTAGCCTGGAGGTCACACAATGAGTCAGCAGCTCAGAGGGATCAGCATGACTAAGGTCTGAGTGTAGGTTGGTAAATCCAGTGTTCATCTGTAATAAGGCATAAATCCAGCCCCTTGGGATTGTGCCCATCACAGAACCTCCATGAACCTTTTATCTGAGGACAAATATCTCCTGTATGTTCCTTCACAGGCTCATGATGAAGTCTGCCCTGAATTCCCGCTGACTTGTGAAGGCTGTGGGAAGAAGATTCCCAGGGAGAAGGTATCCATCCATCTGGCTCTGTGCTGTGGGGTATTTGGTGTCCTGATGGGCTGAGTTTGGCATTCTGGCAGCAGGGAGGAACAGAGTCCATTAGGAAATGAAGTGGGGAAAACAGCTGAGTGGCAGCTGTTAATGTGGATGTGAGTTTTCCATAGGATAGGTGTGAGGTAATGTGGCTCAGGGGCGCTCGCAGGTCAGTGTTGGTGCTGCCACTGGCACTGGCACCTCCCTTGGGACCATGTATGGGGACAGAGCCTCTGTGGGAAAATTCACTTATGGGTTTATCTTCTGCATAGAGCAACTGCATCAACTACTGCTGCAATTTTGGAAACAGAGCCCATGTCCAGCTATATTAATTGATATCAAAGTACTGATCTAATAGAATTCATGTCTATAGAATTTCCAGGCTGCTGGCTCCTGGAGCAAGGCTCAAGAGTCTGAAAAATTCAAGTTTTGAGAAACATTTTCAAAAAGCACATTCATCTGAAACCATCTTGCCTTCTACAGGAAAATATTTTTAGTAGCAGTGTTGGAAAAAGCCCTTTAGCAGGGCAGGGGAACAGAGGCAGCAAAAAGAGGAGCAAAAGAGTTCTTCCAAATGGGCAGCATAAGGAGGGGCTAGGGGTGGGGGTACAGCCCACCTTATCTGCAGTCTGGGGTTTGGGGTACAGCCCAGCTTCTCTGCAGGTGGGAGCTGAAGCCCTGCAGGAAGCCACCTCATGGGGTCCCCCATGGGTGATCTACTCTGTGTTTAAATATTAACTCCCATGTTTATTTCTCCAAACTCTTGTTGATTATTTGCTGCCATGTTAACTCTGAGTAACCTGACTTATTACACAAGCCACATGGATCTAGAAGTCTTTAAAAAAGTGGTTTAAAATCAGTTTTAATTGACATCTGTTGTAGCAGATGTAGGAGTTAAGTGGGGAGGGAATATGGTGGTGTTCAGAACAGAGCTCTGGTATCTGATGGTGAGAGGTGCACTAAACCCAAGCTGAAGCTGTGACTGTGCTCGTTGGATTAATCATGTGCTGTGTGGGAACCTGAACGAGTCATCTCAGTGCTGAGGGGTTAGTGGCACCTGTCAGCAGAAATGTAATGATGGGATGGAGGTAAAAATACCAACCTGTAGCACGTCCTTACCAGAGTTGTGTGAAGTGCCCAAAATGAATGTGCCCTTGTTTCATGGGCTTATTGCCCGTGCTTCCCATTCCTCAGCCCTCAGGGAAGCTCATTATTCTGCATCCACAGCTTGATCCTGTACCCATTGCTTTTTCACTCTTGCATGTGCAGGTGAGCAGTGAGACCTCCCAGCCATCAAGAGAAGGAGAAATTGGGCTTCCTTCAGGTGTCAGGGCTGTATTTGCATTCCGGTGAAAGTCACACCTGATGGCAGGCAGAGCCCAGGTTTAGTGGGCACTGTGACAGTGATTAGCCATAGCTTGGGCATTCTTCAGCTTGGCTGTAGTTTCCCAAATGTCAGTGGGCTGGAAAGGGAGCACTAGGGACACATGAGATCTAACACTGCTCTCCTTCCTCCCTGTCTAGTTTCGGGACCATGTGAAGACGTGTGGCAGATCCAAAGTACCGTGCCGGTTCGAGGCTGTGGGCTGTGCTGAGGTGGTAAGGGCTCCTCTCTTGGGTTTCCCTGGGGCTTTTCAGTCCCAGCATTAGAGTTCCTGCAAACTGCTGTTGCCCAAACTGTCACATGTGTTACATCTGTTTTCCTTCAGGTATTTGATTAAACCCCTTGCACATGGAGCTTCACATCATCTGCTGTGCAGAATCTGCGCATCCCAGGAATTAAATTCCTGTGGGATGAAATCTCATTCTACTTTAAGAGCACCCTAAGTGCTTTGGGACTGTGGTGATTATGCTGCTTTCAGGGGGAGTGGCTTCACACTGCCAGAGGTCAGGTTTAGATGAGATTTTTAGAAAGAAATTGTTCCTTGTGAGGGTGGGAAGGCCCTGGCACAGGGTGCCCAGAGGAACTGTGGCTGTCCTGGGATCCCTTGGACAGGATGAGCTTTAAGGTCTCTTCACATCCAAGCAAGTGTGTAATAACTTGTGATTACAGTGATTCTGTAAGCAGAGTTCTGGGGCCAGGCCATTTCTCTATGTCACTTCGTTTTTGCAGGTCCTACTGGTTCAAATAAATCCCTCCTCCAGGAGGTTATGTGAGGCCTTGTCCTTTGTTGCTGTTAGGTACATCTGACAGAGCTTTTCTGGGAGGGGTTGGAGGAAGGCAGAGCAGACTAATACAGCTGGGGGAAGCGTTTAGTAACCCTCATTGTATGCGATTTGAAACATTTCTAAAACTAAACAAAAACCCAAACGACCCCCACCAAAACACATTTTTCCATTATTTCTTTATTTTTTCTCCCTGATAAATTGTAAATTTAAAGCTGATGTTGTGACCTGTGTTGTAGTGTGTTTTTATACTTTGTAATACTTTGAAGTAGTTTTGGTTTTGTATCCTCGTATTTTTCCCAAATGGTTTATCCCAAACTGTACCCCCTCCCTTTACCTGTGTAATCCCTCTCCCTGGATGAGATCACCCCCAAACCCCCGTCCTGGCTCTCTGTCAATCACTCAGCATTCCATCCCCTCCATCTAGAAGCTTCAGCCCAGGATGTTGAGCGATCAGCCAGAGGCCAGGGGTCAGCCCCCCAAGCCTTGCCCCATATGCTGTCCTAAATGTCCATCCCCCAGTACCCATCCCTCAGGGTCACCTATTGGTCAGTAAATGTTCTCTACTTTGGGTTTCCGCCTCCTTTTAAATGTAGCCTTGGCACCTCTCCCGGGGCTCTCAGCAGGAGCCCCCTGAGATGCAGGAGCTCCTTCGAGACTCCTAGAATAAAACCTTGGATTAACCCCTGCTAAGAGCCGGCCCTTTATCTCCTACCGATGTCTCTCCTGCTGCAAAGGCACCAGCCCAGGTGCCCTCAGCACCCTCGGGGCACAGACAGTGTCTCCCCTCAGCACCCTCGGGGCACAGACAGTGTCTCCCTACTGCTGGCCATGCCGGGGCTGCCCCCGGTGTCTGGGGCTCGGAACTGGCCGGGGATCCTGAGAGGCTCCCAGAGGGACAGAGACAACCTGGATAGGAGGAATTTTTTCTGTGGATGGTGACAGTGTAGATTGCACATGCTGAATGGGGGATGTATTTCTCTTCGTGTAGGTGGAAAATGAAAAGCTCCCAGAACACGAAAGGAAGTGTTTGGCAGAGCATCTCTACTTGCTTCTGAGCTCTGTGCTCAGCCTCAAGACTGGTGCTGGGGACCTGAAGCCCCTTCCTGTCCCTTCCTCATCACAAAACAGTTCCCCACTTCTGGGAGCAAACTCACTGTGCTCGGAGTCGGAGCTCTCCCGGTCCGTAGAGCTCTTGGGAAGGTGTGAGGCCCTTGAGAGGAAAACAGCTACCTTTGAGAACATCGTCTGTGTGCTTAACCGGGAGGTGGAGAGAGTGTCCCTGACAGCTGAGGCCTACAGTCGCCAGCACCGGCTGGACCAGGAGAAAATCGAAACGCTGAGCAACAAGGTGTGTAACTGCTCACCTGGGTTCCCACACTCCCAGCAGAGGTTGTTTCCTGTTTCCTTTCTGTGTCATGAGCTAGCAGAGCTTCACCACTTGGTCCTGAAACTCCACAGATCTGAAGGCAGAACTAAAATACCCTGTGTGCCTGTGCCCAACCCTCAGCAGCTCCCTGGAAAAGCTGGGAATTTAACTGACCTGTCTAAAGCATCAGACCTCTGTTAATTATCAAACTGAGTGAGATACTGAGGGGTTCTTCCTCAGCACAGTTTTCTGACGAGAGCCAGAGCACCCAGAATTTCACTGTATCTCCTTGTGCTGCATATCACTGAATCTGTGGGGCTGCTCACCTTCCAGACTTTTCCAAATGAGTGCTGCCTTTGCCAAAGGAGTGCCATCAGTGCTGCTGCCTGCAGTGACAGGCTGGAGGTGTGAAGGAGCTGCCTCCACCAGTCTGCTCCAGCACAGTCCCTTGTGGAGGGCTCCTGGTGTTCCTGGCACCTGGAGCTGTGCAGTTTGTAGCGCATCTGTGCTCTCTGGGCAACTGATCTGCCGTGACCCTGTGTGAGCTGGCAGGGACAAACCCTCCAGAGGGTGTAGGTTCTTTTCTTTCTCAATTTAGTTTTGTCACAATGCTGAGTTATTGGGGATTTTTTCCCCATCCACACTTCTTGTGCTGCTCAGCCAATGGAGCAGCTCCTTGGAAGGAGTTTTACGTTGGCTACGGGAAAGTTCCCAGCTCAAGCACTAAGCTGTTTTGATGGATCTTCTCCAGAGAAGGAAGCTTCAGTGAATTGGCTTATGTTGCTCAGTTTCTCCCTCCCTGCTCCCTGTCCATTTTGGAGGTCTCTCCCTAAGGAGCCGTCCCAAGGGGCTGCCGGGGTCTCTCCCAGGCCCCAGGGCCTGCGTGTTTCTCACCTGCACCACGTGTCCCACTGAGCAGGTCCGGCAGCTGGAGAGGAGCATTGGGCTTAAAGACCTGGCCATGGCTGAGATGGAGGAGAAGATCCGCAACATGGAGGCTTCCACCTACGACGGGGTTTTCATCTGGAAGATAACGGAGTTTGCGCGGAAGCGTCAGGAGGCGATAACGGGCCGCTCGCCTGCCATCTTCTCTCCAGGTGCGCAAAGTCCCCAAAATCTTTTGCATCTCAGCTGCGTGTGGGTCTCGTGGCAGGACCTCTGCTTGGGAAATGCTGCCAGGCTGAGAAAAGAAATATTCCATGTGGAAGGGAGTGTTTTATCTTGGAGACTGAAGCATGCAGAGCAGTGCTGTTCCAAGAGGGAAGAGAGGGCTGAGAGGAGAGAGATGCAGGCTGTGGATGGGATGAGAAAGGGAATTGGCTGTAATTGTTTGGTTTGCATTAAATGTAAAGGCAAGGAAATACCAGCTGATATCTGTGTTAAAGAAAAGGAAGTGGCGATACTGCTTGCAGTGTTGTGAGGACAGAGTGCCACGGCGTTTGACAAAGGGCAAAATGTTGAGCTAAAAACAGCAAATTGTTCAAGGAAGGTTCATTCAGGGCCTGACCCAGGACAAGCCAGGATGAAGGCCATCAGTCTTGGGGGGGAAGGGGGAGGGCCTTACTGGCTTCTTGCTCTGCTGCTCACCTGGGCCAGAGAGAGCAGGATGCCCAGCTGCATGGTCCCTCTCCCTGGCTGCTCCCACCACTCTGGAGCCATCTTGCCTTCTGTTCTTCGATGGGTTTTACATTCCAAGGGTGATGAGAGTGCTGAGAAGGCCCAGAGGGCCCAGTGGGGATATTCTCCTTGGACTAACAAAGGGGTCATCTGTCCTGAGAGCCTTTGGGTAAAGCAGATGGGGAGGAAGGAGCAGAGGAAATGAGGGATGCAGTGACAAAGAGGGATGCAGTGACAAAGATCCGATCTCTTGCTCCTCACCCTGTGGAAGAGCACAGCGTCTCTGCTGTTCATAGTCTGCCTGTTGAGAAAAGCACCAAGTCCTGCAGTAAAATATTGGCTGTGACCCCTGATCTCTGCCTGTGCCCACTGAGCCTCACCCAGCCAGTCCCAGATGTGCTCTGTGCCACTGTGGGACGGTGACCTGTGGCAGGTCCCCTTCCAAGCTGTGACCCCACGCAGGTCTAGTGTCACAATACAGGCATTCCCAGGACTGCTGGGGAAGGAAGGTGCCTGAAATCCCATCCTGGCCATGCCCAAGCCATGCTGTGGGAATCCAAATGAGAATTAAAGTTCACTTGCTTGAGCCCCTGCCTGGATCAGAGGCATCAGCTCACAGTGGGGGTGCTGAGAGTGCTCTGCTCCCAGCCAGGTGCTTTATGGGGGGGGTTTGTTCCTGCTCATCAGTGTTGCTGCCATGAACCACAGCTCCTTCAGCCCTGAGGTGCAGGAGGATTGGCCCAGCTCTGGGGCAGATCTCCCCTGGCAGTGAGGGAATAGCCAGGGAACTGGTAACTGCTCTGTGCACAGCATCTGCCCAGGCCAGGGGCTGCACTTCCTGGCCTTGGGCTTTCCAGACCACCTCTGGTGCAGCCCAGACCTGACTTCTCCCAGATTCCAAACTTCAGAGCGCTCAGATTTCAGAGAGATCTGCTGTTGCTAGGCTGTGCTGCATTGGACCCTCACTGTGCCTGTTCCACTCTTCTCTAACAGCTTTCTACACCAGCAAGTACGGCTACAAGATGTGTCTGCGCGTGTACCTGAACGGGGACGGCACCGGCCGTGGCACCCACCTGTCCCTGTTTTTTGTGGTGATGAAGGGACCTAACGATGCGCTGCTGCGGTGGCCCTTTAACCAGAAGGTGGGTCTGGAGCAGAGCCCACTGTGCCCGTCCATGGCCTCTCTGGTTCAGCACCCACTCGAGTTTCTCAGCACTGCCACTCTGGGCCGCTTGGCAAGGCAGTATTGACTGCCCTGGGGGTTCCCCAGGCGTGCTGAGAGCAATGGCTGTGCTGTGGGGCAAGGGGGTGACATGGGCTGTTGGGAATCGCACAGAGCCTCTGCAAGGGTTGGGGGCAAGGGAAGGTTGTGGTGGCCTCAGAGCTTGGGGACTGTGGATGCTCATTCCCTGTCAGGAGCTCAGATCCCAGCTCTTGGGCACTGCAGGTTTGTGGAACACATGGAGGCGGAGTGAGCGGGCACAAGCAGATGCAGAGAGGACGACAGCCCTGGCTCAGGGAAATACCTGAGTGCAGTGTCAGTTCTGAGAGCAGAGTGTAGGTTTTCAGTCAGTCTGACAGACTTGTGCTGCCACAGGGAAGTTTCCAGCGACAGGCAGGATGTGGGGATGGGGAGGGTTTCTACAGGACGTTCCTGAGGTGATGTTCTCTGCTGGTCCCACTCAGAGGCATTTCTCTGATTTGCAGGTGCACAGGGTGGCTGTGGCTGCTGGTACCTGCATGCAGGTCACTGGGCTGGCCTTCCATGTGTCTTTTATTCAGCCACTCCCCTGTGCTTTCACCTTTCCCCACAGGTCACCCTGATGCTTCTGGACCAGAATAACCGGGAGCACATCATCGATGCCTTCCGCCCCGACGTGACGTCCTCGTCCTTCCAGCGCCCCGTCACGGAGATGAACATCGCCAGCGGCTGCCCCCTCTTCTGCCCCGTGTCCGTCATGGAAGCCAAGAACTCCTACGTGCGTGATGATGCCATCTTTATTAAAGCCATCGTTGATCTCACGGGCCTCTAACCCTGCTGACCTTGGAGCACTGAGCATGGAGCCAGCACTGCCCGGGGCATCTCCTGCTGTGCTGCACTTCAGGCGGGTCTGAGAGCAAGAGGGGGCACAGAGAGGGGAAAAGCCCTTCCTGAAAAGGGACCTTTGCTCTGAGTGGAAATGAGGTGTCTGATGGGAGCTCTCTTTCCTGAGAAGAGGGTTGGGTGGACGCTGGCAGGCTGTGGAATATGGAAGATTCCCTGCAGGGACTTGGATGTCTGAACTGCTGCTGTCTGGACTCCAATGGAAACCAGTGCAGCTCTTGCTCTACCAGTTTAGCCGACATCCACAGCTCTCTAGTAAAACAGCGGTTTGCCCTGCCTGAGCTCCACGTCCTGTGGATTTTGGCTCAGCTGTCTAGGATTTCCCTCTGAGATCTCCATGTTCCTGGAAGTTGTGGGGTGCCATGGCTCTGCACTGCTGGTTGCTCCACACCCCGGGAGACAAGGAGGGTGTGTGACAGCTGCAGTGCCAGCTGGGCAAGAGAGACACAGACTGGTTTGATGCCGTTGGTGTGTTAGGAGGGTGCTGAGCCCAGCTGCAGGGCAGGGGAGCCCTTAGTCCAGCCCTTGCTGGGTGTGTGCTGGAGTGTGGAATGGGGCAGGAGGTGCTGTTGCCCAGGAGGGACCATGGGGCAGCACCAGGGATGCCTGTGGTGAAGAAATGAATCTGCTGTGGAGATTGTCCCTCCTGTGCCAGGAGAGGAGGGTGGCACAGAGCTCGGTGTGCACCCTGGAAGCTCCAAGCCCTGCCCCTCTCTGCCCTGTGTTCTGAGCAGCACTGGGTGGGATGGGTGCTGTGCTGGGAGCTGTCTTTGCTCATAGGCAAAGACACAGAGAATTGGCTGCATTTCCATGGTGGGACAGCACCACCAGCCTTCCTCGGGCTCCTGCTGCTGTTGAGCTCCACATCCATCTGCGGCTGCACTGCCGTGTCTGTCTGGGCACTGCAGCCTTGGCCATGGGATGTGTGCTGTGTGCCCATGCAGGGGGCACTGCTGGCCAGCCCCTGCACTCTCACAGCGCCTGCAGTCACCAGCAGCAGGTCTCCCTCACTGTTCCTCCCCATCCCTGAGCTCAGGAGTCATGGGGCACCTGGTTCCAGGCGGCAGCACCTTGGAGCTCTTCCTCCACTTGGCCCCACGTTGAACCTGCAGCCACCTGGGTAGGATCTGGGGGCTGGAGAAGTGAAGCATGCTGTCCCCTTTCTGTCCCTGGGTTCCTTCCCTCTGGACAGCACAGGTTCAGCAACCATGAGAAGGTCTCAGTGTTAGTGGGGAAGAACTGGCTGCCACATCCCTGCATAGTGCCCTCTACAGCTTTGTTGTGGCCATGAGTAGCTCTGGATGGGCCCTGATCCAGGGTGAACTCGAAGCTTCTCATACCCCTGTCAGTGGCTGAATGTGCCACAGGAGATGTGTGGGTGACAGGAACCAGCTGTGAGCACCCTGCATTGATCAGGGGCCCTGGCTGGCGCTTGTGCTGCTGCTCAGGCAGTGAGGCTGGAACGGGTCACCCTCCTCAGTGGCTGCCAGGGATTGGCCCTCCACTGCCAGCAGCTCCTGCCAGGTGCCCAGCCCGGGTCTGATGGCTGCAGAGCCTGCCAGGCTTGTGGTCTGCTCACTCCTTGGCTCTGGCACAGCCACCCTGAGGGGTCCGGAACACCATCAGGCTCTACCCTGGCAGGGAGCCCTGCAAGGTCTGGCTGTCCCCCCATGTGCTGGCACAGCCCTGACCTACCCCTGGGGCTGTTTGGAATGTCCCTGCTGCTGCCCAGGAGCTCAGGGGCCTCCACCCTTCCTGACCTTGGAGCAGTGAGCGTGGAACCAGGAGCTCAGGGGTGCCCAGTGCCCTGCTGGCTGAGCTGCACCTCGGCCCAAGCTGAACCTCTTGCACCCAGGGCTGCTGTGCTGGCCAGGTGCTCTCCAGACAGGTGCTGGGGTGACCTGGGAGCCCCCTTTGGAATCGGTGCATGCAACCTCTCACATGTGTGTGTGCAGGGTCTGGGGACAGAGCCAGCCCCTGCTGCTGGGGGAGGGGGACAGAAGCTGGTGACAGCACAGCCTGAGGTGGGAGAGGGGTCACAGGACCCCTCCCTTTGTGAAGTCCCCTCCAGCCTGTCCCGAGGGACAGATCAAGCCCTGTGTTGCTGCTCTCACACTGTGCCTTACAAGGGAATCCAGGCTTGCAGAGCCCTGCTCCCATCTACAGCAGCTCCCCAGGGATGCTTGGAAAAGCCTGGGAAGGGACAGGAGAGTCAGCTCTGCTCACAGAATTGCTGGGAGTTGAGTGTTCTGTGGGGGGAGCTTGTTGTGTGTTGATCAGAATGTCTGCTCACGGGGTGCTGCCTCAGCGGGGCTGGGGGCTCTGCAGTGCCAGGAGGGGCTCACTGGGGCTGGGGGGTCTGGGCTGCTTTCAGGGTGGGAACTGGTGCTCCTGCCCCAGCACGTTTGGAAGGTCTGTGGGAGAGTCGGTGCTGCAGCAAAGCTCAGGCTGAGCCCTTCAGGCCACGGGAACACGGCCTGGCAGCCCCTCCTGCTGGGAGCCCTTTCCTCCCCACCCTCCTGGCACTGCTGATGCTGCCGGGCCTTTTTTGGCTCTCAGCAGCTCTGGAGCTGGCAGCAGGAGTTGTGCCCATGTGCTGCAGACAGGGGCCCAGCCCCTTCCTGGGCACAGCTCTGCCAGCCTGGGGGCACGTGCACAAACACTGGACACAAGCCACCGCTGGATTTTTGTGGTTTTGTTTTTCTTTTGACTGCACCATCTCAACACTGTGAACTAGGTTTTGTTTTTCTTGAGGGTGTAGTATGGTCAGAACCACTAATAAAAGCTGTTTGAACAGCATTGCTGTGTGAGCCAGGGGATCCTGGGCACAGCATGGGGGAGGATTGTGTCAGGGTAGGGGGGTTTCTGTGCTGGAGGATTATTTCTGTGCTGGGAACTCTCCCCAGCTCCTGCATCCCTGCAGGAGGATTCCCAAACAAGGAGGGAACAGGGGGATCTGCAATGGGAAGGGAAGGAGCTGGAGTCTGGCTGCTGGAGCTCCACTGGGCCAAAGCCATTGGGAGCCAGTGCAGCAGGGCTGGGCCAGTGGTTCCAGTGCTTCTGCTGCTGAGGCAAATCCAGCAGTCCTGTTCCTGGGTTGTAACAGCTCTGAGCTCCTCCAGAACAGGCTGCTTTTCCCTCACCACTGTTGGGAGCCCAGTGCCTGCAGGATGCCTGTTCCTGCCCCTCCCATGCTGCAGCACCAGCCCAGGGACTAAACCCACGTGGGGGCAGCAGCCTGGTCACCTCTACTCACTGTGTATGGAAGAGACAAACACAAGGAATGGCCATGGGCACCTGTCCCCTCTGGGAAGCCCCCAGATGCCCCTTCACACCACAGCAGCTGCTGCACCAGGGAGATGCAAAGGGCAATGAGGGGACAGTGGCACTGCAGCTCAGGAGGCTGCTGTGGCACAGGAATGCCAAACAGCATTGGAGAGCACTCTCTTTACCCGTTCTGTGCCTGTTAGTGCTTGGAAAACATAAATCCAGGAGGGATCTAGCCCCTGGCCTGTCCTGGAACCTGCAGTGTTCAGCCCAGCTGCCATGGACGCTTGCTGCCCTTGGGCCATCCCCTGCCTCGCTCCTGTTGCTCACAGCTCTCTGCCCACACTTCCCCAGGCAGGGCAGGTAAGCACAGGCTGGGCAGCAGCTCCTGCAGTGCTCCAGCCCAGCCCTGTGACAGTCCTGGCCTCAGCTCTGGCTCAGCAGAGCACTACTTGGAAAAACAAACTCACATTGCAGAGATGCTTTAGCAGAGTATTTATTCAATGCCAGAGTGAAGAGCAAAACTCAGTACAAACAGCACCTCAGTGCCTTGCTCGCTGCTGCACCGAGCCACGGGTGGAGAGTTCACAGTTGGGGGAGGAAGGGAGGCTGTTCCTTTGCTGTGTGACTGGACAGAGCAGGATGTGGAGCCTGTGTGCACACACAGGAAGGAACCCCTAATTTCATGACAGAAAACCTGAGTACAGGGGTTTTGGATGAAGCTGGGGCACAGCAGGACACAGGTGCTGACCCTCCTGCTGCAGAGGCTGCTAAAGCCATCAGTGCCATTGTGACAGAAGCTGCCGCCTCTGTCAGGTCTGTCAGCAACCCCAGACTGGGAATGGCACAGGCACCTGCCCCGGAGCTTCCAGGGGGCCCCAAAATGCCCCCCCTGCAGCTCCTTCCCAGCCTGCTTCAGGAGCAACAGCAGCTCCTCAGGGCCCCATCTACGCCAGGTCAAGATTAGGAGCTTAATTTTAGACTCTGCCATTTGGGTACCTGCCACAGGGACAGAAGCTCAAGGGACAGACAGTGAACACCACCGAGTCCGCACTAACTCCAAGTGACCGTCCCCACTGCCTGTGGGGTCCTGGAGGAGCTGAGCCCTCCCTGGTGGGTCAGCCCCAGGGACAGGGAGCTTATTCAGCTGTCACTGCAGGCAGGAGGGCTCCATCCCCATCACCTGCAGGTGAATGAATACCTGCAGCACCTGTGGGTGTCTACACTTATTCACAGAGAACATACCAAAAGAACCTAAAGTGCCACGATTGGGTAGCATGGGCAGGAGGTGAGCTGTCCTCATGGGTACCCCAGGAAGGGACAGCAGATCCCCCACAATAAATACGTTCCCGATCCATAGCTTATTGAAGTGCTACTCAGAGGAAGACAGAGGCAAAGCCAGCACCATATGACCACCAGCCCTCCCCCACTCCCAAGTTTAGAAACTGGCAATACCAATACACAGACCCTGGGGCCAGTCAGGCTCCCAGCCCTGGCCCTGCTGCCCCCTCACTGCCCCCAGTTGCTGCTGCCCTCTTGGGCAGAGGTGCCATGGGGAAGAGGCACTTGACATTCCACAGCAGCCAGACAAGTTGCCCGTGGAGCTTTGGGACAAACACACATTAATAAAACGCCAAGATTAAGAGTCTTGCAGTCAGGCAGCACAGCTGCACCATGGCTCCTGCCAAGCACTCTGCAGCTGGCGGCTCCCAGTGTGTCTGGCCACGTCCCCAGCTCACACAGACCTACACTGGACGTGCCTCAGCGTCCCCTGTGCCCAGAGCTCACCCAGAGAGCTATGCCCAAGTAGCAATGCTGGTGAGAAGCTGTGGGAGCCCAGCCTGCAGTGACCAGCTCAGCTGCTGCCCAACAGAACCACAACAGGGCCCCAGCTCTTATGTCCTGTCTGAAGGCGATGCTTCAAGGAGGCGGCGATTCCTGCTGCCAGGGCCCCTCCTGGCTCAGCCATAGGATTTGTGTGCCTGGAGCTCATCTCTGTGCAAGGCTCAGGGCTCTGTGAGCTCAGAAGGAGGTGCTGCAGTGAGGAAGCTGCAGGAGCAGATGTACCTGGGTTCAGCTTTTCTGGTTCAAGAGCCAGGAGAAGAGCAGTTTCCTAGGCCGGGGCCTCCTGGCCTGCCGGATGCGCATGGCCCGTGGGGAGCGCCACACCTTGATGGTGGTGTCATCACTGGCTGTCAGCAGCAGCTCCTGCTCCACCGGGCTGAATGCCACTGAGTTCACCACATTGTCATGCTGCAGCTTGGCCAGGCAGATGT